AATACAAATATTTTAATTACATAATGGTAGAATTTAAGTCCTTAAGTACTTTAATAATTAAATTATTATTTTCTTGATAAATGAGTACATTGATATTGCTTTTAATTATACTCATAATTCTCATAACGGAAGAATTTGAAAAGTTATGATTCATTATCATATCATATATATTACTAATGTATCATATATCATATATCATATATTATATCATTCATATATTATTAAAAGTGGAAGCTCCAACCTTCAAAGTTGAAAATAAAAAGCATATCATATAGTAAATGTTCAAAGTGGGAAAGTATTATATCAAAAAATGAAAGATGACAATGTCCATAGAAAGTTGCTAGACATTTTTATCCCTTTTTAAAGACTTAATTTGTTATTCTATATTTAATCATACCATATTGTATTAGCTTTTCTCATCAACGTCGAATTACAAGTTCACCATTGCAATAAATCAAAATATTATAAAACATTTAATTAAATATTATACAAGCATATTTTAATTACTTGAAAGTTGAAATACAAGTTCAGCACAGTACAAAATTTACGACCCTTCATTGAATTAAAATCAAATTAAATAGTAATGTTTAAATAATATAAATAGTGAGTAAATAAAAAAAATCAACAATCATATTTTAATCCTCTACATTCAATTCTCCTGAAATGTGTGAAACTAATTTATTCGCACCATTACGTACTTTTGTAAGTAACTTCTTACACAAATGAGAAGTTGAACAATTTCTTCCTTAATGAGTCAATTTTATTTTTTCACCTATTATGAGCATATGTAATGTAACTTACACATATTTTTTGCATCTACAAAACTTCATTTATAACAATATGAATTACCTCAATTATTACTGCTAATTAATTTAATTTTTCTTCTTCTCTCCTATTAATTGTTTTTCACAACGTTCCACATTCTTGTTATTTTCACAATATTTGATTTATCTTCATTAAATGATTTATCGTAAATACTTCTGCACATGCACAATTTTTTGAAAGTGTAACAATTTTTTGAGAAACTGAAAAATTAGTCCAATTAAACTGACTTGATATATTTATTGTTTACAATTAATGTAAACTCATGAAAAAAAAACACACATATATGGATTTGTGATGGGTTTTCAATCCAAAACTCAACATGTAGTAATTCATTTCTTAAGGTGGAGTGATTTGGATAGCAAAACAAGAAACTGTTGTACCAGTAAGAATTTTGACTAACTCAATAATTTCTAATTTTTTGTTTTTATTTTCTTTTTTCTGTGAAGAACATATGAATTGTTACCAAGTATGTAGGTCACTGTTGTTATCTTTATATTTTACTACTTTTGTTCTGTGTTGCTTGTATTTCGCTGGATGTTCACGTGATTTCTTAGCATATTTTATTTTAAATTTTCTTGTCACCTTTAGCCTTTAACCAATCAGTTCTAAACTAAAACTTCAGGCTAGAAAAATGTTTTCATTGCAAGGATACTTTCATATGTCAAAATGAAATTTCTATCAATTATAAAACTTTTTTCTATCAGAAAGTACATTTATAATTAATTATAATGATTCTATATAAATTAGTATGGGATACACGTGCAATGCACGTGTCCAGAACTAGTTATTTTAAACAAAGAAAAACTACTCCACCTCATCTATCCCTCGCTCTCTATTTTTTTTCTTTAACATTTTTCTCGTTTTGTGTTAGATATATACATATCTTTTTAGAAAAGTGTCTTTTTACTTGTGTACCGAATATAACACAAATCGGAATTTTATTTTATTTTTAAATCTTGCGGCAAGTAGAAATTACTTTTTAAAAACATATGTATATGTCTACAACAAAACGAGAAAAAAATTGAGAGCTAACGGTTAAGGGGGTGAGGTATGGAATATTTTTTTTTAAAAAAATAAAAATAATATCTAAATTTATTTTTTTTGGAGGGGACGTGGTTTGGGGATGAAGTAAGAAATTTTTTTAAGAAAATTAAAAAAATAAAAATAAAAATTGTGGGGCGGGGGTTGGGGGAGAGGGGTGTTGGGGGGTTGCAGTTGGAGGAGGTGTGGGGAGTAGGGTAAGAAAAATATTTAAATTCTATTTTTATAATTTTCTTTTGAGATAATGATACTCTAATCTTTAACTTTTAAACAATATTAATAATTTATTTAATTTTTGTCCATATGGAATGTCATGTGACAATTCTTTTTAAATAAAAGAGAGTGTAATATACATACCATCAAGAGAATGTAATAAATGAGAGAAGTGTGTTTCTCAAACTAATGAGTGATGATTTATGTGTGTTTTTGACACTTCTCCCTTCCAATAGTTCAAGTATGAAATTACAAAAAAAAAACGAGATAATTTAGGTGTATTTTTTATACTTCTCCCTTATGTTTACTATACCATGACAATTGGGAACAACATAAAAGGTGTGTTTGGTAAGAAGGAAAATATTTTACTAGAAAATGTTTTCCTTGGAAACATGTGGATTTATGACTTATTTTCTCATGTTTAGTTGGTGAATAGAAATTATTTTTTTAGTGTTTGGTTTGTGAATGAAAAACATTTTTAAAACAATATCTATTATTTTTTATTAGGCAGTAGAAAATAACTTTTTACCCGGAAACCAACCTTGATAATGATCTAGGACATGGCCCCGACACGCGAACTAGGAAACAATTCCAACGACAAATTTGAAATCCGACCCTGAAATCTGACCCAGGACCTGACCCTCACTTTCGACTCGAGACCTAACATTCAAATTGGGACATGATATCCGACCCAACACCTGACCTTGACACCTGAACTTGAACACGATCCATCATTCCGGATTTTGACTTCGACACTCGAATTGACACCCGACTTCCAAATCAAGATCTGAAGCCGACAACAACAATTGATGCGAGACCCAAGATTCGACTTTCAAATTGGAATTTCGACTTCAACTTTCGAACCGGGATCCAATCACACCCGACTCGAAAACTTAACTTTCAAATTGAGATTTAAATTATTTTAAAAAAAAAAAAAACAAAATTTTGAATTTGTTTTGTGTGTGTGTTGGGGGAGGGGGGCTGGTAGGGGGGGTAAGAAAATAAAAATTTGAAAATTTGAAAATACTTTTCAAAAACAAACTTTTAAATCGAAAATATTTTTCAAAAACAAACTTTTAATTATTTTTTTGGGGGGAGGGGGGCTGATAGGGGGTGGGGTAAAAAAATAAAAAATTTAAAATTTGAAAATAATTTTTCAAAAACAAACTTTTAATTTATTTTTTTTTGGGGGGGGGTGCTAGGGGGGTCGGGGTAGGGTTAAAAAAAACTGAAAATATTTTTCAAAAAGACAAAAATAGACTTTTAAATTATTATTTTTGAGGGGGTGGTATGTTGGGAGGGGTTGGTAGTGGGTAGGGGTAAAAGATGGAGTGGGGTAAAAATTAAAAATTGAAAATATTTTTTAAAAATAAATTTTAATTAATTTTGTTTGGGTGGAGGGGGCGGGGGGTAGTACTAGTAGTGGGTTAAAGAAAATAATGAAAATTTAAAAAATTTAATATTATTTCAAGAATAAACTTTTAATTTTTTTTTGTGGGCGGGGGGGGGGGGGGGGGGGGGGGGAGTAGGTGTAAGAGGGTCAACTCAAATCGATCTAACGCACTTAGGCAGTCAAGACACTTAAATTCAACACACTTTACTTTTTCACTCTCGTTCCAGATTAACTCTAGACACGCATACGAAAGTAGAACACACAAGCACGTTACAGGAACAATCCCCAACTTTCTATTTAACTCGCATCACAAAGAAGCACACAAATAGTATAGCCTTACAAAATTCGACCAAAAGACATGTTGCTTAAGACTAGTGTGCTTGTGCTTCTAAATAGGCCACAACGCCCAATCACATGTCAGGCACATGCCCACAAATTCAATTGACAAGCCCAACTGATAAGCCAAATTCAAAATTTAAACAAGTCTTATATATAATGCTCATAAGTCTCCAACGGCTAGAAACTGTCAATTTCGCATAACTTCCCACGCGTGTGCGAGGCACACACGGGCAACCTTCAGCTTTGGCGCAAAAATCTCCTTCAACTGCCCAATCTCGCATCTGCCCACGTGTCAGTCATGTGCACTGGTCCTGCCTCACCCAGCTTGTCATTGGGGTCCAATCTCCTCAGATGTTGCCCTTGCCCAACACTTAGGCTTCAAAACTTGTTTAGCCACGACCTTGTCACTATCACAACTTCTCCTTGCCTTGCCTTAGTCTGCTCAGCCCTTGTCATGCCTTAGCCACATCTTACCTCACATGCCTTAACTTTTCCAGCCCTTGTCATGTCTTGGCCACCCACACCTTGCCTTGCATGCCTTAGTCACGTCATTGTCAAAGTCTTCTTTTATTTGAACTTAACCTTGATTGAAGTCGTTGGGCCTTGACTAGGCTCGTCATGTAAATCTCTAGTCAAGTCAAAGCCGCTCGAACCATCAAGCCGAGGGTATAACAGTAGGGTAGACACGAGTTGTACAGGGTAAAAAAATAGAAAATTTTAAAATTTGAACTATTTTTCAAAAATAAATTTTAAGTTGTTAATTTTATTTATTTATTTTTAATTAGGGGGAGGGGCTGGTTTTGGGGTAGGGGGTGGGACAGACAAAATAAATTGATTTTTAAAAAAAAAAAAAATTTTAAAAATTTATTTATTTTTTAATGTGGATAGTTGGGGTAAGAAAAAATATTGTAATTTGAGATTGGAGGAGAGTTTTGAAAAATGTTTTTCTTAATATTTGAAGAAATGTCATATTTTCCTTAAATTTAAAGAAAATAATTTGATTTGAAAAATATTTTTCAAAACATTTAAGATGAAAAAATTGGAAAACATTACCAAACACACCCAAAAGACAGAGTCCACTTCAACATAGAATATTAAACATGATTAGTTTTGACTGTTAAAGTAGCCCTCCATACTCTTGTGCTCCATTGCTGGTCTTTACTTTGATTCTACTTGATCAAAGAAGAAAATGTCTCATCAGTTCGTTCATCATGTATTTTTAAGTTTCAGAAGCAAGACCTTTGGAGATCATCTTCATACAGCTTTGTTAAATGCTGGTATCCCTTCATTCAGACCTGATGATAAAGAGCTTGATAAAAATCTGCAGAATTCAATTCAAGAATCAAGAATTCTAATAGCTATCATTTCAAAAGACTATGCTTCTTCATACAGATGCCTTGATGAACTCACCCATATGATTCAAACCAAGAAAGCTTTTGGAAATTTTCTTCTCCCTGTATTTTATGATGTAGATCCATCAGATGTGAGGAAGCAGAAAGGGAGCTTTGAAGAACCTTTCTTTAACTTTAAAAAGAGATATAAAACAGAGAAGGTGGATCAATGGAGGGCTGCTTTAAGAGAAGTTGCTGATTTGGGAGGAATGGTCTTACAGAATCAAGCTGATGGGTAATATTTTTCTGAATAAAATATCTGTTTATCTCATTCAATTCTTGTTACTAAATTGTAAAACTATTTCAGATCTGAGTCGAGGTTTATACAAGAAATTGTCAAGGTGGTTGTAGGAAAACTGAGACGTACTGTATTAAGTGTTGATCCCCATCCGATTGGAATAGATTCTCGAGTCAAAGAAATTGATTTGTGGTTACAAGAGGGATCCAATAATGTAGATATTCTTGCAATACATGGTATGGGAGGTATTGGCAAGACTACAATAGCCAAAATAGCTTATAACCTGAATTTTGATAGATTTGAAGGCAGTAGCTTCCTTGCAGATGTTAGAAAAGTTTTAGAAAAGTATGATGGTTTAGCTCGTTTACAAAGACAACTTCTTTCGAATATTCTTGGGAAGAATGTTGAAAAGATATATAATGTTAATGAAGGGTCTGTCAAGATTCAAGAAGCCATCAGCTGCAAAAGAGTTCTTCTTGTTCTTGATGACATAGACAACATAGATCAGCTAAATGCGGTACTCGGTATGAGGGATTGGTTTTATCCAGGTAGCAAAATTATAGTAACAACGAGAAATGGTCACTTATTAAGTTCTACTGAAGCATGTAGATGTAGGATGTATAAGCTAAAGACTTTGGATGCCAAAGAATCACTTCAACTGTTCAGTTGGCATGCATTTCGGGATGAAACCCCCCCGTTAGAATATATGGATCTTACGATAGATGTTGTACATCATTGTAAAGGAATTCCGTTAGCTCTTAAAGTGTTGGGTTCGTCTCTTGGTGACTTAAGTATAGAGATTTGGGAAAGTGCATTAAGGAAATTGAAAGCTATTCCAGACAGTAAAATCCTTGAAAAACTAAGGATAAGTTACGAATGTCTACCAGATGATAATGTTCAAAACCTATTTCTTGATATTGTCTGTTTCTTTGCTGGAAAAGACAAAGATTATGCAGTAACAATACTTGATGGATGTGGTTTCTTTTCAGTCGTTGGCATTCAAATTCTTGTTGACAGATGCCTATTGGCAATTGAACATAACAAACTGATGGTGCATCAATTACTTCAAGACATGGGAAGAGAAATTATTCGGGAAGAATCCCCTTGGGAGCCCAGTAGTCAAAGCAGGATTTGGAAACACAAAGATGCCTTTAACATATTTCAAGGGAAGACAGTAAGAAATCTGAATCTTTGATTTTTAACGCGCAATCATCCATATCTATGTGCCTTAATGTATGATTTTCGTTATCATGTAGGGTACTGAAAGGATCCAAGGTCTAGTTCTTGACATCCGGATGCTGAAGGAGGTAGAATATGTCGGGCAAAAATTGAACGGAAATGATGTTGAGCACTGGCAATTTGAATGTCCTGCAGATGTGAGATCACTGAGAATGACTGATGCAAACTCACAAGGGAGACAGAGTTTAACTGTTCTCGAGCTGTTCAGAAATGTCTTTTCAGAAACTTCAAATGGTATACTGTTTGAAATTGATGCATTTTCAAGAATGAAGAAGCTGAGAATTCTACAGCTTACAGAAGCAAAATTCACTGGTAGCTACCAATGGTTTCCTAAGAGTTTAAAATTGCTTCATTGGCGTGGATTCTTTTTGAAGTCCATTCCAAAGGATTTTCCTTTGGAGAGCCTGGTTGCTCTCGATATGAGGAGAGCAGATTGCAACAAACCTGGGAGGGAACTAGGGTAAATCTTTTAACTTCAGTTTTAGCATTGACGGTAGGAAAGTTGATAGTATGTTAATAAACATGATGTACTTGTTATTGGCTATTGCAGAAGCTCAAGTTATTAAAAATTCTCAATCTTAGTCATTCCCATTTCCTAAGAAGAACTCCTGATTTTTCCGGGCTTCCTAATCTGGAAAAACTCATTTTGAAGGATTGCGTAAGATTGTTCCATATTCATGAATCAATTGGAGATCTACAGGAACTTGTTCTCTTGAACCTGAGAGACTGCAAGAGTCTATCGAATCTTCCAAGAAGCTTTTGTCAGCTCAACTCCTTGGAAACACTTATCATTTCTGGCTGTTCTGGACTTGCTCTATCAACAATTGATCTAGGAAATCTGGAATCTTTGAAAACCCTTCATGCAGATGAAATTAATTACGATCACGAGAAATCATGGGTTGCACTCTGGCAATCTTGGTCATCCAAATTAAGAAAATCCCCTGATTATGACAACTTTTCACTATATTCTTTATCAAGTTCACTGGTTAGCTTAAGTCTGGCAAGATGCAAGCTAACAGATGATGCTCTATCACTTGGTGTTAACAACCTCTTCTCATTACGCCATTTGAATCTAAGTGGAAACCTGATTTCTAACCTACCACAGAGCATCACAAATCTAAGTATGCTTCAGGACCTTTGGCTAGATGCGTGCCCGAACCTCCAATCACTCCACAATCTTCCTTCAAGGCACATCAAGCTGAAGGCTACAGAATGCACATCACTAGAAAGAGTTACAAATATGCCAAGCCTATTGGAGACTCATACATTATTCTTGGATGTTAGAGGCAGTGAGAAACTAACTGAGATTCCTGGATTGTTCAAGCTGGAGCCAATAAAAATTTTTGAAGAGGAAATGGTGAACACTCTGAACCATCTAAACCTGGATGATATACAACATGCAGAAGTGGAACTATTTAACAGGCTTACCAACACAAAAAAGAAATATTCAGTGCAGGTAAGCGTTGTCTGTCAAATGAATTTCATCTGTCTTGTAAGCTTCTTTCCTACTAAAACCACCCCGACAATTAACAAAACATGTTTCATAAGAAAAAACGAGAAATCTCCTATGTCAAAATTTTCATGCTGAATATTTCTTTTTCCCATAGGGACTCTATGAGTTTGGCATCTTCAGCACTACTTTCCTGGAAGTGAGATCCCAAGTTGGTTCAGCATGAAGGGTGAAGAAAGCTTACTGACTCTGAAAGTGGATTCTCTTACTAATACAAAGATAATAGGACTTAATATCTGCATTTTATATTCACGTTCCAATCATCAAAAATCTCGATGCTGGGAAGAAAACCAACTTGGGAACTGGTATTCTTTTTTCATCAAACTGAATAATTTGTCCAAGGGTGTCAAATGGATTTATGCCCCAACATTCATAGGCATTCCAGGACCAAATGAGAACTTGACATTTTTATGCCAGTGGAAATTGGGAACGTACCTTGAAGCAGGTGACGAGATTAATGTCTCAATAATAGGGTGGAGTTGTACTTTTCAGATGAAAGATTTTGGAGTTAGCCTTGAGTGTGAGACAGTAGAAACAGATCTATCCGTAACATCAAACGAGCTTGCAATTAAAAGTAGTGATCCTAGTGCTTATCTATCTGGACACTGTGTCATGGAAAGTTATATGCCTGTGTATCAGCTAGCATGGAATCATTACTGCTTTTCTCACCCAGACTACTTTTTGTTTAATGGCCACCAAAGGAAACAAGCAGCAATGAGGTTGATTTTGTACCAAAAGTTATTCGAAGATTTTGTGCAGAGTAAGTAGTACAGGTTTAAGGTTTATAAGCTTTCTGTTTCCCACAGTCTTTCTTGTTACTGATCAGTAACATGCTTTCATGAAGGTTCTATAGATGCTGGAACAGAAGATGATAGTGACATTGATATCTATCATGAGAAATATGCTGAGGAGGCTGCCTTGGCAGAACTAGAAGACGACATGGAATGGCCTTGGTAAAGGGCGAGGACTGGAGCAACGAGGGTGCAGCAATCTTAAATATTGGTTTAGTTGGCTATTACATGATTGACAAACTATTAGGTGATAAGCTTCTTATAATGTGTATCTTATAAGGTACACAACATATATCTTCTGGCAAGAGGATTGGACAACCATTATGCGTACAAAACAGAAAAGGTGATGATTTTATCCCATTAAGAGTTATAAATTTAGAGTACAAAACAGAAAAGGTGAACTACCAACAGGCAATAAAGAATCTTATTTCAAAAAGCTATATTTCATACACTTCCATGTATAAAAATAAACTAAAAAGATTCCTGTCAAAACAAACTTACTAATTCTAAACAAAATCTGGCAAACTGCACCAAATATAGCCAACCATGAAATCTTCATGGCAAACTGCACTAAATAAACCAATACATGAAATCAACATTTAAATTATTGTGGAACCAAAACAAGAGCCAGCCATGGAATCAAATGTTGATGAAATGACCACAACTGCACTACCATTCCAGATTTGAGGTTATTCCTTTCTACTACTTGCATCCAGTCGTTCAATAACACATAACTTGAGCTGTTACTCATGTCCCATTTTGCCAAATGAATCTTTGTTTCTTCAAGGGAAGGCTCAATCAAGTTGAACTGAATCCTGTTCTTTTTGTTAGACACAATATCTTTCGTCTCCAATACCATTTTCTGTTATGGTGTCAAGAAATCCTTATCCTCCACTTGGTTGATGGGGATTGACAGACGCATATGCTTATAACTCAAATCTGTATCATAAAGAACTTTCTGAATTACGAGTCTCACTTCAGTAATCTGAACCCCCATTATTGAAATCTTCTCCTTCAACTCATCTGGCAAACCTGGAGAATCAATTATGGTTTAATCTTTCTTCTCTTTTTCGCTCTGTCTTCCTCTTTACTCTGTTTTTCATCCAACAGAATTTCAGTCTTCTTTTTCGCCATGGAAAGGTCTTCATCAACTATTTCGTCTGTTTTGTGTTTAAGAGTGATTCGAATCTCGAGACCCTTTTCCTGTGACGGGATAACAGTAGGAGGCTTCTTTCTTGTGAAAATTTTGCTTCTTTGAGCCCTTGGCAAAAGATAGTAGTAGTGATCAACAGAATGTTCACACATATATGGATTCTTTCTAAAGGCTTCATCTTTCTCATGCTCTTCATCATCCACATATTCGGAATCAGTAATGCACGACTCCTCTTTCGACCCACCACCATCATCTTCCTTTAGTATTCCCATGGAAAAAGAAAATCTCCAGTAACAGAGATAAATGGAAAAACTATTAGAAAGCAATAGCTTCAACATTGGGAATTCTTGATTTCTTGGACACGCTAGTAAATCTTCCAAAAATAATATGCTTATACTTTACCTGTTTCTTTTCACGTAACTTTTTTTCATGGAATACAAAAATTTCTATATATTTTAAGGAATTTTTGCTCGTAAACATTTATGCTCTTAAAATCGTGTTCTTGACCACTAAAATGCACCATCTTTCCGCCTACTCTCCCAACATATTCCCTAACCCCATCAGCTTTAGGGTTGTTTGATACCTGGATACAGTTATGTAAGTATTAGTAATATATCATTGATATATATATAACCATATACAAATCAATTAAAGTCTCATTTGTTTAGTGGAGGTCTGAATGAATGGTTCAGACATTACGCCATTAAATGCATTTATTTCTTCTACTTAAAAATCTCTTAATCGGTCTGAAAAGGTCTGAATGAATCAGAACTATGACACAGTTTTATTCTCATTCAGACTCTTTTTATTCTCATTCAGACTAAAAATACTTTTATTTTCCGAAAAAAAAAAAATATGCTCTATATTGTTTTCTTTTTAAAAAATCCCAGCATCCCTCATTTTCCAACTTTATTAGTTCTCTAAATTATTTCCATTATTTTTTCAATTTTTGTTCTTGCTACTTGTTTATTAAGAATTGAAAAAAAAAATTATTGTAAAATTTTTATTTGATTAAAAAAGCAAAGCAACTTCATAAATATGTGTTGTTGAAATAAGATGATGATATCTTTATAAATTTGTTTAGAATCATTTGAATGTATCATGTTCATTATTTATTTTAGGAAGCGTACATGGACAAACACATTATAGAACATGGAGATGTTTCACCTATTATTTAAGATTAATTTGTGTTGAATTTCTTTGTAATAATTATTTTTAATAATTATAATGTATATATGTAGTCCATGTAGTTTCATTTTATTTTTATCAAACTTAAAATATTTAATTCATAATTCAAACATCTCAACGTTTGTCAAAGAATAGCATTTTTTCTAATATTTTGTTAATGTAATAATTAACTAATCTTTTATCTGAATTATAATATTTATTCTGTTTACATATTAATAAATTATTTATATATTCAGATGTTTAAAAACAAACTGTCTTAATCATTCAGTGTTCAGATCTACCGACAAGATCTTAATCATTCAGATGTGTATTCAGATTCATATGTCTTAATCTTAATGAAAACAAATGAGGCATAAGTTTATAAAATCACACTTTAATCCTAACACTCTGTTTGGATCATTGTTACTCATTGTTTCATAATGTATTGTATTGTACTGTATTGTATATTGTATAGTAGATACAATGTTTGGCTTGACCATATTGTTTGTTGTTGTTTAATAACATTTTAATTGTTTGGTTTGATTGTATCGTACTGTATTGTAATTTAAAATTTTACTAAAATATAGATTTGACTAGAATTAAATAGTATAAGGTAAAGGGTAAAATAGTATTTTGAAATATTATGTAAAGATATAATTAGAAAAAGAAATTAAGTAACAATGGGAACACACCAAATCGGTTGTTCCATAAAATAGGGTGTTTCATTGTTATGTAACAACGAAATTTAACAATACAATATAATACAATACATTTTAAGTAACAATCAAAACAAACATTATAGGTATAGTAACGATATAATACAATACAATGGGTAACAATGATCCAAACAAAGTGTAATTCTCAACTATAACTTATTATTATTACTGTTCACACAATTTTTTAATATCTCTCTATGAAATTGCTCTCGAGTATTAACTATAATTCACCTATTAATTAATATTTGAAAATTAAGAATGAAATTGATGACTAGTTTGAGGATGGAAAAGATAACGAAATAGGGCAAAATTTAAAATTTAAAATAGGAGGGAAACTTTTCAAAATTTTCAATATATTAATATATACAGCCCAAAATTTGTAATTACTCTAATCAAGTCCGCATTTTATTTAATCTCATTTAGCTAAATTAATATCACCAATTTTAATTTCTAGAGTTGAATGATATATACCTTGTACTCATTTCACTCCCGAAACATGAGTGTGCTCCATTTAAGGTTGCCAAGTTGGGGCGGCCCACTCCTATCGAGTCGGTATTTAGACATAATATTGAATTTAAACTGATAGTACAACTCAAAGATAACAACGATCCAAACAAAGGGTAAACAAGCAATGGATCCATCGGTGGAAGATGAAGTTTCAATAAAGGAACATTCAACATTCAGAAATTAATGCAGATCAATTGCTGCCACAATCTTTATTGATTAGCATTAATCTTTGCTGCGAAAATAAATTAATACTTTCTACTCGCAAGCTGCTATTGCTGAATTTCTGTTACAACCATTGTTTCCATTATCGGTAACCAAAATGCAGAAGTTCGTCATTGGATGGAACTGTTTTGTTAGTATTGGGAGCTGAAATACATCATACACCCCTTGCATTGAATGGAACTGTTTCCCCATTGCTCAGTTCAAAAGAAGTATTTTTACACATGTGGTATTTTAGTTCCTATAAAAGCTGCCATACTGCGAGCTTACTCGTGATATTCAAATGGGCCTATTATCGAATGTCAATAATTGTAAATCATGGAAGGTGTTCGATGAAATTCCAGAGAAGTAAGTAGATGCAAAATTTCTTGATAGAAAAAACACTAAGATGAGACCTTTAAAGATGTAGTGTATCCTTTCATGAAAACTGAGACTACTGTTTTGAGGATATCTTGATGGTTATTTTTTTACGGAGAATGGGTGTGGAATTCCAATAAAAAGCATCTTAGGATTTATGGAAGATGCTCCTAACAAAATATGAGCCAGGAAATTGTATTGATCACAATTACATCCCAAATGAGAGCATTGTGTTGAGTCTTATAGCCTCAATCTACAAAATATCTCTTAACACAACCCCATGTGGTTGCAACACCATCACCAAGTCTTTGGGCCAATGGAAAGAAAGAGGTCGAGACTACTGAATCGAGAAAGTTATGCAACACAATCCTTTAAGGCAACTTAATAACACAATGCACATACGGAGCACTGTGTTTATTGTTACCACTGCAGCTGATGATAGATAACATAGTTTCGAGTTCTGTCTTTATGCCTGAGAATCTCCTCTCTAGTTAAGAGTGCAAAACAGAAAAAGTGAAGTACCAACTAAAAGTAAAGGCAATAAAGAATCTTAGTTTAAAAGTTATATTTCATTCAAATTAACTAAAAAGGATATCTGTCAAAAACAAATACTTAAAAGAAGTTTACTATGACACTAATCCTAAACAAAAGTTGGCAAACTGTACTAAATAGTTACACATGAAATCAACGTCTAAATTATTATCGAAAGAGCCAACCATGGAACCAAATCTTGATGAAATGACCACAACTGCACTACCATTCCAGACTTGAGGTTATTCCTTTCTACTACTTGCATCCAGTCATTCAATAACACATAATTTGAGCTGTTACTCATGTCCCATTTTGCCAAATGAATTTTTGTTTGTTCAAGTGAAGGATCAATCAAGTTGAACTGAATCTTGCTCTTCTTGTTAGACACAATATCTCTCGTCTCCAATACCATTTTCTGTTGTGGTGTCAAGAAATCCTTATTCTCCACTTGGTTGACCGGGATTGACAAACGCAGATGCTTATAACTCAAATCTGTATCATAGAGAACTTTCTGAATTACGAGTTTCACTTGAGAAATTTGGACACCCATTCTTGAAATCTTCTCCTTCAACTCA